GGGTTTCGTACTGACGAGATTTCATTGTCATGCCATATGAATGTTCCGAATGCAGGGACAACACGGAAACTGTGAAAGACTTTGCTTCAGTTATTTGCTAATGTCCCTTTGAAGATCAAATAATAGTGGGGTGAGGTGAAATGTGGTTTAACGTCGCGTTAGATTATGGCACTTATATTGCGACGTGTGTGCACGTGCGGGTGGCGTAGCTTGTACCAGTCCGGACTGGTGTATGGTGCTAGCCCACTGAGATATCATGCTGCAGTTTATCAAGGACACCCCACTCAGACACATTATTCTGACTTCGAGCTAACCAGTCCTTGTTTTATCCCCGTTGTGCGAAGCGCCAGACAGGGTAACAACAAGTAACACCTTTTAACATATTTTGGTATGACGCGGCCAGGGATCGAACACCGACTTTCAGCTCTCGAGGCAGACGATGTCCACTAGACCACTGAGTGAGATCTCATAATGATAACATTTATAATAACTTAAATGGGGATTGTTCTCCACATTCTGATGTAGTAATATGCAAAATAAAATCTGAACTAGCAGACCAACGATTGGCCTTTTGAGGACTAGGGACTAGTTGGCTGAAGCCTAGCCTCCATCGGTCTATCAACGATTGGCCTTTTGAGGACTAGGGACTAGTTGGCTGAAGCCTAGCCTCCCTCGGGCTCACAACGATTGGCCTTTTGAGGACTAGGGACTAGTTGGCTGAAGCCAGCCTCCCTCGGGCTCACAACGGCTGCAATGACAAGGTAAACACACACTTTGGCCCAGGGAAATACACGCGCAATGTTTTGGATGATAAGATAAAATAAAAATAATCTTAAACGTACGTGTCCGGCTTATGTGCATATTAAACAACTTTCGTCCTCCTATACAATGCCAGTCCAACACAGCACAGACAATGGATGTACAAAATGTCATATATATTTTTAATTATTAACTGCAGGCCACCCTACCATGTTATCGTCCAACTTATCGTGTGTGTGTGTGTGTGTGTCTCGTCTCGTTAATAGTGCCAGCCCAGTGAGAAACCATGCCGCAGTTTAACATGAATAGCACACTTAGACACAGTATACTGACTCCGAGCCGACCAGTCCTTGTTTTGACCCCTTAATGCCGAGCAAGATAACAGCATGCATGCACCTCTTTTTGAACGTCTTTTGGTATGACGGGAATCGAACCCAGGACCTTCCGCTCTCCGGGCGTACGCTCTACCACAAGACCAAGGAGGCGGTCCATGGTGCCATCAAACTGAACGCTGTTCCATCATGGCGACATCTAACTGTACGTTGTTCTACCATGGCGCTCTCTAAATGTACGTTCTACCATGGCGCCATCTAACTGTACGCTGTTCTATCATGCCATACTGATAATGTACACCGTTCTACCCTGGCGTCAAATAATTGAACCTGTTCATAAATGTATCATTACGTCATGGTAGAACAGCTAACAGCAGCAAAACTCCATGTTCGATTATGGCATACTGATAGTGGACGCCGTTTTACCATGGCGTCAAATATATATATATTGTTCTACCATGGCGTCAAATATATCTACATTGTTTTACCATGGCGTCAAATATATCAACATTGTTTTACCATGGCGATGACTAACTTTAGGCAGTTCTACCATGGCGTGACATAACTTCAAGGTTTATTTATTTCGTCACATTAAGTGACACATCTGAGTCGTATTATCATAAAGAAAAATGGGAACTGATTCTAGTACACCACCGATTTACACAGTAGATGTTTGTAAGAGCGGGAAAAATCGAAAACTATAAAGAAACTGTAACAAACCGCTGAAATGTAGGCTAATCTAACAGATTACAGCACAAGACTCTGACAAGGTGGTCCTTCGGCCCATTCCAAGATTGCTGACATATCACACAGGACTGTTTGCAACTGGACACTGTCCGTAACATACCACGTCCACTTGATGGCCATATCTGTTTTCCTCAACAAGGTACCACACTTAGCTACAAAGAATAAACTGGGCATACAAAACGGGTCTCTCGAAAAATTAGCCCCGGGCCTGCCTGTCCGATACGGCCGCTTGTCGAATTATGAACAGCAATTATCGACACCCGAGAGCGTCACACAAAATCGCTTATCTAGTCCATGTGCGTTTACTATTAAAATTTCAAAAGATTAAACTATAATGCCCATATCAAGTTGAAAGGGTCTGCTTCTTTGTCGTTGACATATTTATTAAATTACACCCATCAATATCATATTTGTTGTGACGTTCTTGTTTCTCCCAAGAAGGATGCCAACAAATTATCTATGTTGACAATTTCATTATGTCGGTGTGTGATGCCTTGTGATACGGTAAGCCTCCCAGCACGCCTGGTGAAGGAAGATGCGGAGGGATTAACAGCCCTGTCACCAGCCGATGTTTATGTTATGATATCGGAGCTTCGTTCACGGCTGAGGCTACAAAAAGAAATGTGATGGATCATAAATATAATGGATGCCTTTCACAAGAAGAAATCACGTTCATGGCGTCCTTTGACTGTACACTGTTCCGCCGAGGGCTTCTCAAACAGTGCCTTGTTCGTCCATGGCGCCATCTGACCGTACGCTGTTCTGTAGCTCCACGCTTTTCTCCAATGATGGTGCCCTGTTCTATCATTGCGTCTTCCAAATATAGTTGTACGCTGTTCTGCAATGTGGTCATCAAGCTGTACGGCATTCTATCTCGACACCACCTTGTTGTACACTGTTCTCACTGGATGCTGTTCTACCATGATGGTTTTCTTCCAACTGTACGTCGTTCTACCATAGCTCTCCTCCAACCATAGGTTGTTCTACCATAGCTCTCCTCCAACCATAGGTCGTTCTACCATAGCTCTCCTCCAACCATAGGTCGTTCTACCATAGCTCTCCTCCAACCATAGGTTGTTCTACCATAGCTCTCCTCCAACCATAGGTCGTTCTACCATAGCTCTCCTCCAACCATAGGTTGTTCTACCATAGCTCTCCTCAACCATAGGTCGTCCTACCATAGCTCTCCTCATACCATAGGTTGTTCTACCATAGCTCTCCTCCAACCATAGGTCGTTCTACCATAGCTCTCCTCCAACCATAGGTCGTTCTACCATAGCTCTCCTCCAACCATAGGTCGTTCTACCATAGCTCTCCTCCAACCATAGGTCGTTCTACCATAGCTCTCCTCCAACCGTAGGTCGTTCTACCATAGCTCTCCTCCAACCGTAGGTCGTTCTACCATAGCTCTCCTCCAACCGTAGGTCGTTCTACCATAGCTCTCCTCCAACCATAGGTCGTTCTACCATAGCTCTCCTCCAACCATAGGTTGTTCTACCATAGCTCTCCTCCAACCATAGGTCGTTCTACCATAGCTCTCCTCCAGCCATAGGTTGTTCTACAATAGCTCTCCTCCAACCATAGGTCGTTTTACCATAGCTCTCCTCCAACCATAGGTTGTTCTACCATAGCTCTCCTCCAACCATAGGTTGTTCTACCATAGCTCTCCTCCAACCTCTCCTCCAACCATAGGTTGTTCTACCATAGCTCTCCTCCAACCATAGGTCGTTTTACCATAGCTCTCCTCCAACCATAGGTTGTTCTACCATAGCTCTCCTCCAACCATAGGTTGTTCTACCATAGCTCTCCTCCAACCATAGGTTGTTCTACCATAGCTCTCCTCCAACCTCTCCTCCAACCATAGGTTGTTCTACCATAGCTCTCCTCCAACCATAGGTCGTTTTACCATAGCTCTCCTCCAACCATAGGTCGTTCTACCATAGCTCTCCTCCAACCATAGGTTGTTCTACCATAGCTCTCCTCCAACCATAGGTTGTTCTACCATAGCTCTCCTCCAACCATAGGTTGTTCTACCATAGCTCTCCTCCAACCATAGGTCGTTCTACCATAGCTCTCCCCCAACCATAGGTCGTTCTACCATAGCTCTCCTCCAACCATAGGTCGTTCTACCATGGCTCTCCTCCAACCATAGGTTGTTCTACCATGGCTCTCCTCCAACCATAGGTCGTTCTACCATAGCTCTCCTCCAACCATAGGTCGTTCTACCATAGCTCTCCTCCAACCATAGGTCGTTCTACCATAGCTCTCCTCCAACCATAGGTCGTTCTACCATAGCTCTCCTCCAACCATATGTTGTTCTACCATAGCTCTCCTCCAACCATAGGTTGTTCTACCATAGCTCTCCTCCAACCATAGTTGTTCTACCATAGCTCTCCTCCAACCATAGGTTGTTCTACCGTGGCTCTCCTCCAACCATAGGTTGTTCTACCGTGGCTCTCCTCCAACCGTGGCTCTCCTCCAACCATAGGTTGTTCTACCATAGCTCTCCTCCAACCGTAGGCTGTTCTACCATAGCTCTCCTCCAACCGTAGGTTGTTCTACCATAGCTCTCCTCCAACCATAGGTTGTTCTACCATAGCTCTCCTCCAACCGTAGGTTGTTCTACCGTGGCTCTCATCCAACCATAGGCTGTTCTACCATAGCTCTCCTCCAACCATAGGTTGTTCTACCGTGGCTCTCCTCCAACCATAGGCTGTTCTACCGTGGCTCTCCTCCAACCATAGGCTGTTCTACCATAGCTCTCCTCCAACCGTAGGCTGTTCTACCATAGCTCTCCTCCAACCAGAGGCTGTTCTACCGTGGCTTTCCTCCAACCATAGGCTATTCTATGAAGACGGGGCTAGGGAGGAACGACCATCCGAATCGAACTAAGTCACTATGTTCAAATCATTGTGTGATACGCAACAATTCGCTAGCTATCGCAGTTCGAGTCCCACCCAAATTACCCGGGGACTTGCTGATCTCTAATAAAAATGAGATGAAGACATGAATGGTTAAGATACAAAAGCGTTGTTTACAAGAATTTATTTAAATACATTCTCACATAGTTCATCCACATACATCCGGGGTAGATACCAGTGCATATCAACAGATATATGTACATGGCACTATAGCACATTAATGCAGACAGGGGGCAAATATTCACCCTCTCATACAGAAGAAATCACAATCTTCCGCCTCAGTCACGTCCTCAGATAAAGCACTAGATGACAAATCATCTGGCTCCCTCTTCACCACCACAGCGGCACGACACGCATCCGCATCAAAACTCTTCTTCTCACAACCATCATCATTGGCAACCGAAGGTTCCATTCTGGTTTTCCTGATGGCTTTATCTGTGTCTTGTATCGCCATACGTTCCTTGGCCCCCAGCGTCAAGCCGTGCCTGGTCATGAAGTCAGTGAGCCAGCCTCTCTTTGCCTGCAATGTGTCATCTCCCATCTTGGTCTTCACGCTGGACAGCATCTGCTCCGCGGACACCGGCTTCTTCCGGATCCGAATCTCCGACAGCCATTTTGTCAGGTCGGCGACTTCTGCTTTCGTAGAAGTGCTGAAATTATTTGTTCATTTTAAAATAGGAATTTGTAGAACCATGTACAAAAACATTTGTGATGTATGACAATATATGGGAGCGAGTAAGTGAGGTTTTATTATTAGCAATATTCCAGCAATATCACGACGGGGGACACCACAAATGAGCTTCACACATTGTACCCATGTCGGTAATCGAACCCGGGTCTTCGGCGCGAAGAGCGAACGCTTTAAACACTAGGCAATCCGACCGCCGTTACAGACAACATAAAAATCTCATTGTCAATGTATAAATACACGTGTGTAATGTAGTATATATATACATACACGTGGATCAGAACGTTGTGTTGTATAAAAATAGTAAAATGCAAATTTTTTAAGTACAACCATTAAATTATAAAAAAAGATCACCATGATGTATCTCACCCAAAGTTCAGTTTCCGACCGGATGTGTTCCTCCTCGCTGTTATCGGACTGCGCATGCGTATACGTCTTTGCTCGTCAACAAGATCTTTCCTCCATGCGTCCAATGTCCTGCTGGGGATGTTGAGACGACGTGACGTAGCGGGGATGCCATGCACCAGAGCTTGTTCAAGGGCGTCCATCTTCTCGCCAACGGTGAAGTGACTGGACTTGTCTCGGCGTGGTGACGGTAGCGTGTGGAACACAGAAGCGTCGTTGACGTTGTCGTTCACCTGTAGTAAGATGATTACGTCATGTTGAAATAGATAGAGATAGTTTTGGTTTTTGATCGATTTTGATTTACCATGTCGTATGATGAAACAAATAACGTTTTCTATTCGAGAAACAAATTCTATTTTTTTCTATTCTATTTACCTTGTCGGTCGTATCCGGATCGGAGGGGTTCACTTGCAGTCTCTTCAGCGCGTGGCATACGAGGTTCTCGGACGATGTCTTGGGCCTGGGGCTGTCCTGCCTGAGGGTAGGGCGAACCCCCGGGGTGGGGAAGAAGAGGGTGCTGATCTGCTTCTGACTCATAATGACGATCAAGGTCTACGGTGGTATCTCGTCTAAATAACTTGAAATGTCACGTACTTTCTCTCAAAACGATGCTGGTACTGAGATAGGCTTGTTGTGGGAATGAAGTAACAATGCCATGGAGGGGTATTTATGTGTAGGTGTGAGAAGCCATTTGAGTCGTTACAGTGACACGATCGTGGCGTTGTTTTAACAGAGCTCGGCTTGTCATGAGTGGTCAGTTGTCATATGTTTGAGTTAATCTCTTCCCAGCTGTGACTTCGTCAATCAGTGCGCTGTGTTGTTTTAAGGGAGTATTGATAAATTTGCGTTTCAGTTACCTCCAAGTAAACACCATGAGCTTAGTTCACTGAGTATTGACAAGGAAAAGTACTGATTGATTATTTACACGGAAGCCAATGTATCTCTTCCTCTGCGAGTGTTTTACAAGCACACCCTCGAAACCTATACAAACACTCAGTATTTATTCACGAATGCTGTTTTAACAGTAGTTAGGCCTTTCTTGATCATTTTTATAAAAAAATTTTTGTAAGATTATAGGGTCGGTCGTATGAGAAAAAAATGAATGTCAAATTTTCTATTTTCCTTTTGATATTTTTGTGAAATGTGAAAGAAATTATAATGATGTTTATGTGTTCGAGATGTATGTTATGTTTTATCCATAAGCGTGACTATCAGGCTAGGTGTTAATAAATACAATCTTTTAAATAGATATTTCCATATTCTGTATTTTTGGGGTAGGTTGATTTGTAAACCAAGCTGTACAAATTCCTTACAATGTAACCACCTATTGTTGATAATTAACAAGCTGTTGTTAGGTTACGAGTTAGATATATCATCCTAAGCCATAATATCGGAAAAGCATGCTATGGCAACGTGCATGTAGACAAGTATTTGATCATATTATTATGTTTTTAACTTATATGTAACGCCAGCATTTGAACCTGACAATAATGTAAGATCTAACACTTTCATGTTCTGCAAAATCATGTGATCATTCTAGTTGTGTAGGCTTCATTCTGCTCTCGTGAACAATAATCAAATAACTGTAGGTTTATGCACTTTGTAGGAGTACAAAGAAAAATATACAGTGTACTTGATATAGGTGAAATATTTATCATGAGGAAGTCTTTTGTCCTGGTTGTTATGTCCAAGGTCGTAGTTTATTTCTAAAAATAGTAAGGGGCGGTCGGGTAGCTTAATGGTTAAAGCGTTCGCACGCCACGCCGAAGACCCGGGTTCGATTCTCGACATGGGTACAATGTGTGAAGCCCATCTCTGGTGTCCCCCGCCGTGATATTGCTGGAATATTGCTAAAAGCGGCGTAAAGCCATACTCACTCACTCACTCACTCTAAAAATAGTAACCCTGATGACACGCTTGGAGCTGACCGTTGTCAGGGAAGATGATCATGATGTAGGAGTGACTTTCTCCGCAGATGCCTGTCATCAAACTCGCTCCAAAATACTGAAACGTATTATTGATAAAACATGAATTGTTATGAGTGAGATTGCAATATCCGTGGCTAGGGACACCAGAAATTGGCTTTCACATTGTACACATTTGGTTGGTTTAAACATATTTTTATTCATTGAAATGAGTTGGGATTGGTGAACAAGCTTTACAGCTTATGTTAACACCGCTCCCGTACAACATATATTACATATTGAAATGAAGGATGTGACGTCATCGATATAGACATTATTTAAATAATATGTTTGTACATATTACATCAAATACAAATACAAAGTGAACATAAACAGAAAGTTACAGCTTGTGTGTGTCTAACAAGTCGTTTGTAACAAAAGTAATAGTCAATCATGAGGTTATTGTCCGGTTAATTTAATTATTAATTTGTGAAGAGCTGAAACGTTTTGTCTTGATGATGAAATCGTGGACGGATTCAACTAATTTCTGGTTTTCAGAGTGAGCAAGTTCATTGTTTCCGTTCATAATAGTATCCAGGTTATAACCGGTAGTGTAAAAGTGCATATTAAGTCTTATCTGAGTAAAGTTACAGCAAGTAAAAAAATAATGTACAGCGTTTTCGCTCTGATATCCACAGGAGCAACACGGACTGTGAATTAAATGTCTGTTATAATGCTTATCGGCGTTTAGGTCGCTACAACCGAGTCTGAGGCGGCAGTGAACGATTTGACAGAATCGAGTGCCATAGCTAAGGTCAAAATAAGTCTTATTTTCGGTTTTCGTAATTAGGTTTTTAAATTCTGACAGACTACTTGACACATTGTACACATTTTGGGGTTAGAACCCGGGCCTTCGACATAGCGGGCGAAGGCTTTAACCACTAGGCTACCCAACTTCTCTCAATGTGACCTGGAAGCAAAGAGCGGGGCCAGTATCACAAAATGATCTCAGATCTCACGACCACCTTAAAGCTCACGCTACGAATATTTTGTTGAACGGGCCGATATTCGTTGAAATGATGTATAGATAGGGCTCAAAGATATTAGTGAGTGAGTATAGGTTTTCACAGCTTTTAACAATATTCCTGCAATATCACGACGGGAACGCCAGAATGGGCTTCACAAATTGTACTCAAGTGGAGAATCAAACCCGGGTCGTTGGCGTGACTAGCGAACGCTTGAAGCACCACGTTACCCCATCCCCCTCAACGGTATTATAACGAAATCTGATTGGACTTATGGCATCTATAAACATCTCAGTGAGTGAGTGAGTGAGTGAGTTTGATTTTACGCCGCTTTTAGCAATATTCCAGCAATATCACGGCGGGGGACACCAGAAATGGGCTTCACACATTGTACCCATGTCGGGAATCGAACCCGGGTCTTCGGCGTGACGAGCGAACGCTTTAACCACTAGGCTACCCGACCGCCCCTATAAACATCTCAACGTCCGTGACATAATGTTGATGTATTACCAGTTCTACTTCTACATCCAGAACACCAGTGAGGATTGCGGGTCAGGATATAGTTGCCCAGCAACCTATGCTCGGCGCATGAGGCGACTAAATGAATCGGGGGTCAGGCTCGGCGTCCTGGTTGAGTGTGTCATCGTACCGGACAGCGTGGCTCGTCACTCATCATATCAACCACTGGTTTTCTGGTTCACACTTGGTTATCAAAAGACCGCCGTCATACAGCAGGACTATTTCTAAGTGCGACGTTTAACATCAAACTAACGCTGTACAATGTTTTCTTCCGTTTTTCTATGGTCAGCGACTGGTTCTTGGGTGTGTTCATCGTTTCACGTGCAGACTGACGTAGTCTATGTTATTCACAAGACTAGGCCGCCTTCACCTTCGACCCCGACAAGCATTCCTGGTGTCCTCGTCGTCATGTACCCGTGACATTGCGTAAAGCGAGGTGAATACATCCTGGCGAGAAACACCAAGTTGAGTTTCTTTCATTCACGGGGATAAAGGAATATTTTATGTGCGCTTCTCTCACAAGTTTCTTTCGCTGTTACCTGATTGTGGTTAAACCTGGTTCGCCCGACACCCGGTACATCGGAAACCCTCGCAATCTGGACGAATGGTAACGGGAACGTTGATATTGATGAAAGGGACCTATTACATATTCATGATTAGTTAATCCGTGCGATATCACTGGGAACGGTGTCGATCGGATTGACGGGTTTTTTTTGTAATAAACTCAAACTTACGTTAATCCCTGATGTACGTTTTATGTTAATAATGACACTTAGACACTCGTTTATTGGACTGGCACAGAGATTGACCGGGCATAAAGCCGATATTGAGGACAATGAGTTGTATCATGCAGGCAAGTGCTTCTCACAGCGGGCTGAATGCTCATATAAGCCGACATAAGTGTCATTATAGTTTCTAGAGGCATTTAGAAGTTGGAGTACTAAGTAAGGAAGATAAGATAAGATGGATGAACAACTTCTTTAATACAATTAGGAAGGACGTTTCGGTGTAGGTTCTAACACCGTTCAAGCAAGTTATCATGACGGTGTAAGCAAGTTATCATGACGGTGTAAGCAAGTTATCATGACGGCGTAAGCAAGTTATCATGACGGCGTAAGCAAGTTATCATGACGGCGTAAGCAAGTTATCATGACGGCGTAAGCAAGTTATCATGACGGTGTAAGCAAGTTATCATGACGGTGTAAGCAAGTTATCATGACGGTGTAAGCAAGTTATCATGACGGTGTAAGAAGCTACACTGAAACGTCGCTCCTAATTGTAATAAAGAAGTTGTTCATCCATGTATCTTATCCTTACTTAGTGTCATTATAGGTTTCTCGCCAGTACCTGGGATGACATCTTTAATTCAATAACCCATTTTATCATTTATTGTTTTTTACTCGTTTATTCAAATTATTAATGATACAAACATACACTTGTAATATAGAATATCAATTATTGTTTATTCAGAATATCCATTGGCCTTAGGTCATAACATAACATAACATATAATACTTATCAGTAAGAAGTGGTTGTGACAGATTATTTTTCAGTACGACGCTTTCTGAAAAGATGTTCATGATGGGTCCAAAGTGTTCACGTTTTATCAGTAGACATGAGTGAGTGAGTGAGTATGGTTTTACGCCGCTTTTAGCAATATTCCAGCAATATCATGGTGGGGGACACCAGAAATGGGCTTCACCCATTGTACCCATGTCGGGAATCGAACCCGGGTCTTCGGCGTGACGAGCGAACGCTTTAACCACTAGGCTACCCGACCGCCCCTCAGCAGATATTAAGATTCAAACCGTTGAATATTTGGATATATATTTCTCAAGCTAATGTGTGTCTGTGACTGATAGACACTTTGTCTTAATTATGTAAACTCTCGCCGTTCCAAGAAGAATTGTCATGCCTATGGGCCACTGGCCTCAAACCCTGATATAAAGTCTCATGTCTCTCTCATGTCAGTGAGTGAGTAAGTTTGGTTTTACGCCGCTTTTAGAAATATTCCAGCAACTGCGGGAGACACCAGAAATGGGCTTCACTTATTGTACTAAGGGGGAAATCGAACCCGGGTCTTCGGCACAAGCGAATGCTTTAACCACTTGGCTTCCACGCCGTCCCCTCTCTCGTGTCATGTCATATTTGTATTAATAATGAATACAGTTCTGTAAATTACGTCTTAAAGGAGAATATGTTGTACACTCACAACATCTTCAATTTTATTCAAGCTGCATACACGATATGCGTGTTCTTTAAGTTGGTGTCAACAAGGTTGTAAACACGTCGGGGTATCAGTCTGATACTCTGCGGTAACACCAGCTCGATCACCGAGCTTATTTTCTAGCTGTTGGACGAGAAGGGCGAAAACAGCACGTGTACATATGACCTTGTTCAATGATAAGGGCATCTTCATGTTGATCGTCACAA